CAATCTCCGCTCTGCATCCGACTTTAAGTTTCTCGAATTACAGACAAGATTAGGTTCCCTTATCGCACCCCTCTCTACAGAATTGCAAGAAATTCTCACCCTTTATTCGGGCTCCTCGCATTCGCGCGAATTGTCGAATATTCATGTTTCAGTAATTTTTAATTGGATATTTCGAAGCTTCTTTCGGTGTGATTTTACGAAATTTTGTAATTCTTTGGGTATTTGGAAGTTAAGAATATTAATCGAATTTTTAATTCAATTTAGGAAAATTCAATTTCCTTTGGCTGCTATCTCCGTGGAATTGCAGGGGGAATTTCAACCCTCTTCATTTGGAGAAGTTACAAAATTTAGCAAATTTTGCCCTGCTGTTATTTGGGGTTTGAATTAATTCAAAAATAAATAGAATTTTGTGCAAATATTCACCCCTTTCGCTAACTGAATTAGTAAAAATGAAGAAATTTCCCTCTTCAGGATTTTGGTATAATATATAAAGTATAAATATTAATTTACTTCTGCAGAATTCCATTTAGAGATTTTAAGTATTAAAAATGTTTTCATTTTTCCCTTTAATTTGCAAATTTATTATATTACAGCATGGATAAAATTCTCTTACGAGCAGACCTCCCCACGAGTCTCCAACCCTTAAAAATTTATAAATTATTGTTTTCAATAATCAAATCTCCAAAGCACACCACAAATAAAATTCTTTTCATATGTGAAATTCATAAAATTGCGCTTCCAACCCCACGAATTTTGGAAAATAACTAAACTACCCCTTTTAAGCCTCAAATTATCCAAATTACAACACAGATAAAATTCTTTTCATATGTTAACTCCACAAAATTGAACTTCCAATCCCAAGAATTCTGAAAAGTAACTAAACTACCACTTTCAAGCCTCAAATTCTCCAAATCACACCACAGATAAAATTCTTCTCGTATGTGAACTCCACAAAATTGAACTTCCAATCCCTAGAATTCTGAAAAGTAACTAAACTACCACTTTCAAGCCTCAAATTCTCCAAATTACACCACAGATTTCCAATCCCAAGAATTCTGAAAAGTAACTAAACTACCACTTTCAAGCCTCAAATTCTCCAAATTACACCACAGTTAAAATTCTTTCCATATATTAACCCCACAAAATTGCGATTTTAACCTCTACAATTCGCAAAAATAATCGAACTACCCCCTTCAACCCTTAAATTCTCCAAATTACACCACAGATAAAATTCTTCCCATATGTTAACTCCACAAAATTGCACTTCCAACCCCTCGAATTCTGAAAAATAACTAAACTACCCCCTTGAACCCTTAAATTTTCCAAATTACACCACAGATAAAATTCTTTCCATATATTAACCCCACAAAATTGCGATTTTAACCTCTACAATTCGCAAAAATAATCGAACTACCCTTTTTAGCCCTCAAATTCTCCTCGCACCACAGATAAAATTCTTTCTCCGCCCGAACCTCGCAAAACATCACTCCCAATCCCTGCTACCCCTGGAATTCTCGAAAAACGACCGAGCTAACCCTCTGAACCCCTGGAGCTCTCGAAACCACGTCAAAAATTAAATCCTCTCCGCGAATCTTCCTCTCTCTCTCTCCATCCCTCACCGACTGGCAAAAAATCCTACAGCATCCAACCCCCATTATCCTCCCTCGTTCCACACCGCGTGCAACATGTCTGCAACACGTAAAAAAGCCGGCTGAAGCCGGCTGTAACCGTTGTAACTCGATTAATCGCGGCAAGAACGAGGCATCGTCTCGTAGCAAGGGTTTACTAGCCCTCGGTAAAAGGATCCGTCAAAGTTGCGAAAAGCCGATAGTTCTGCCATTAATTCCGCTTCGTTAGAGGTTCGAGCGTGCTTCACGCGTGCTAGAGTGCAATCGCGGAGAGAATAAGAGACAGAGACAGAGACACCGACGGAGAGAGACAGACTCGAATTAATTCTGTTTTGCAGAGAAGTGCGCTGCAGTGCAGCCAATTGCATCTTCGAGTGTCTCGAGCCCGTGTTTCACCCTGTTCCAACGACGGCCTCGCTTCTAATTAACATAAATACCCGGACAGCCACGGTTTACAGAGAGTTCATTGTGCCGGCCACTCGCCGGCCTCTTCGCAAATATTGACGCACGTTGGATTTCATGGACGGATTATGGTCGCAGGAAATGGGGATCGATGGGGTTGGACCGGGGGTGGTTATTCCGTTCGCGATTGGAATACTTGGTGGAAAAATTTGTCCTTTCCTTTTGTGATTTTTCCGCTTGTTTTAACTGATGTTGCGACGAAGGGATGTGCGAATATTTTGAAAGAATCGAAGGGTGGGTGTGAAAAGTGAGTCTTCTTGGCTGCCATATTTGATTTGGTGTTTGATTATTACTAGTTGGCAACTTTAACACTTTGCACTCTAAAAGGAACCTTCAGCCGCCATTTTTTTTTAATGCTATAATTTAAATAAGGAATTAGAAACGATAACTATTAAGAACTATACACGAAATATTGTAAATTTAATGTTTCTATTCCTTTTATTATTAGGCAGCCTAACCTAACCTAACCCTTTGCACTCCAGAAGGGACACTCAGTCGCCATTTGTTTTAATGCTATAACCTAAATAACGAATTAGAAACGATAACTGTATTAGGAAAAACTATACACGAAAGACTGGAAATTTAATTTTTCTTTTCCGTTTATTATTAGGCAATCTAACCTAATCTAACCCTTTGCACTCCAGAAGGGACCCTCAGTCGCCATGTTTTAATGCTATTATCTACATAACGAATTAGAAACGATAACTGTATTAGGAAATAACTATATACGAAAGATTGGAAATTTAATCTTTCCTTTATTATTAGTTTTATTATTAGGCAACCTAACCTAACCTAACCTTTTGCACTCCAGAAGGGACTCTCAGTCGCCATTTGTTTTAATGCTATAACCTAAATAACGAATTAGAAACGATAACTGTATTAGGAATAAATATACACGAAAGATTGGAAATCTAATTTTTTTTTTATTATTAATTTTATTATTAACCTACCTAACCTAACCTAACCCTTTGCACTCCGGAAGGGACTCTCAGTCGCCATTTGTTTTAATGCTATAACCTAAATAACGAATTAGAAACGATAACTGTATTAGGAATAAATATACACGAAAGATTGGAAATCTAATTTTTCTTTTATTATTAATTTTATTATTAGGCTACCTAACCTCACCTTTGTACTCAAGAGGGGATTCTCAGTATCCATTCTCATTATGATGCTCTGCAAAAGTGAAATCACACTCATCGCAGCGTTTTCAAAGAACCGTGAGTCAGAAGAAACTATAAAAATTCGTTTCCATGTAACGACACGTGGCGACACTTCTTAAATGTATAATCCAATTGTTATTTTAAAGCTAATAACACAGATGGTCCGAGACCTTTGCACGGTACTATATAAGGAGATACAGATATTTTCAAACGTGATTAATTAAAATTACAGTTCGCTGACGTCGCTTAAATATGTACATAATATACACTGAAAGAAGGAAGCTAAGTAAATTTACGGTAATTATATAAAAAAGGAGGGTTTCACCGATTTCGACGATTTTTAAATATCTTATAAAAATCGAAATTTCGAAGAAGTGTTTCCTATACATTTCTCCATTGCACGGCCTTAGTTTTCGAAATTTTTCCACCAAAAGATCGCTACTACTACATTGAATCCTATCTACACGTCCTTCTATTATCTCTAGTTTCCACAGATACCAACATGGCGACCAAGATAATGTATAACGTGTCAAGAAAATTGGACGTAAATAAACAAAATTATTTTTATTCAATATAATAAAATAAATATACAAATTGCCCGTCAATTTCATTATACAGATGAATACGTAGCCTAAGTATAATATAATAATACGTGAAATGAAGAGACCTAACCTAACTTAGTCCTAGTACCTAACTTATTACCAGTACTACGATTACAGTACTACTGTTGCTGGGTCGCCCTGTATACACAGGGAAAAGTTATTCGAAACTTCGATTTCTATACTATATTAAAAAATCGTCAAAATCGGTGCCCCCCTACCCCTCCCTTCCCTTTCCAATTATTAATAATTACCGTAAATTTTATTAGAATGATATGCGAATGGTATGGTACGGTAAGGGACCTAACCTAACTTAATCATAGTATCTACCTAACATAATTATCAATACTACAATTACAGTACTACCGTTGCTGGGACCCCCTATATATATATAGGGAAAAATTATTCGAAATGTCGATTTCTATACTATATTAAAAAATCGTCAAAATCGGTGCCCCCCTACCCGTCCCTTCCCTTTCTTATTATTAATAATTACCGTAAATTTTATTAAAATGGTATGGGAATGGTATGGTACGGTAAGGGACCTAACCTAACTTAATCACAGTATCTACGCAACATAATTACCAATACTACAATTTCAGTACTACCGTTGCTGGGGCCCCCTATATATATATTCGGAAAAGTTATTCGAAATTTCGATTTCTATACTATATTAAAAAATCGTCAAAATCGGTGCCCCCCTTCCCCTCCCTTCCCTTTCCTATTATTAATAATTACCGTAAATTTTATTAGAATGGTATGCGAATGGTATGGTACGGTAAGGGACCTAACCTAACTAAATCATAGTATCTACGCAACATAATTACCAATACTACAATTTCAGTACTACCGTTGCTGGGGCCCCCTAAATATATATAGGGAAAAGTTATTCGAAATTTCGATTTCTATACTATATTAAAAAATCGTCAAAATCGGTGAATTCACCCCCTCTCCCCCCTCCTCCTGCTTCCCCGTTTCTAAATAATTACCGTAAATTTTACTAGAAAGGTATTTACGTATCACCGGGACGTTTATTTTCGTTCGCAGCTAAGCGTTGAATCTGTCTACGTCGTAAATAGCGCGTAGGAGAGAATGGGACACGGATAATTCGGGGTGTAGGGGGGTGAAAATTTCAGTGGAACACTCACCGTGAGGAAATCCAGGAGAACGCAATCGATGAACCACCAGTAGTAGAATATTCGAGTCGAGCACCGTCGCTCAACCTTGCGCCCTCTTCTTGGTAATTCACGCAACGCCACTTCTCTGAAACGGTAACAATAGAAACGTATATAGAAAACTGGCTTTCGAGGCCTCGCTTCTCGCTGGATATCCGACAAACGGAGAAGGAGGTGGAGGAAAGGAACGTTTTGTTTCGAAGCTAACGATATACCGCGAATTGATCCGTTGCCTTACCGTTTGGGCCCCATTGGCACGTGGCATGGACAACAGCAACGTGGGACACGTTGGACACGTTGGGAAACGCCGAGACAGGTCGAGCCATTACGTCCGAACGCGGCGAAGAACAACACGGAACTGAGACAAAGGCATCGACGAAAATTGACTGAGTTGGAATCAGTGATGTTTACATTCCTATCTACGCCGCACGGCGCACGTGATGCTCAAGTGTTTCGGATGGTTTCCATAGGACACGGATCACAGGACATTGTAGGCGAGGGGGATTATATTTAAATTTAAACACACTGAAATTTGTATAATTACTGGAGGAATTGAGACTACGTTGAGCATGTATTCCAATTATTAGTGTGATAATTTCTGTATAATTATAAATAAAATATAAAATAAAATAATTACTAAATAATCGATAATTGTGAAAATGAAATTTAATATAGAAATGAAAATTCGCATTTAGGAATAATTTAGAATCTTTTTTTTAGAGAATAAAATAAAAATAAAATAAAGATTAAAAAATATTTAAATTAAAAGATACTGAAATTTGTATAATTAATGGAAAAATTGAGATTACGTTAATTATGTATTCCAATTATCAGTATGACGAATACCGTAAATAATTATAAAATAAAAATAAAAATTTAATAGATAAATAAAAGAATTCTCTAAAATTATTGCTTCAGAATCGCCACAAATTTTCTTTCTAAATTATCATATGACTAAAATATATAAAATCGGATAAATGTCCGATTTAAACATACTGCAATTAAAATATTAAAATCAGAAAGCACTCGAATTAATATAAATACCATAACTGAACATACGTAACTTGAGAAATTAAAATTATTCCAATTCCCAATATTCCAAACCCTAAAATAAAAATTTGACAATAATCAGAGATATATTGCAAAAATAAAATGCGAATTTAGAATCGTTTCAGAATTCTCATTCCAACTTGCTATTTAACCCAGTCCTATTTCAGAATCATCGTAAGTATCAGAAAAGGAGATCACGGGACGAATTTAAATCAGAATCCTGCTGCAGCCTCCGAGACATTCAGAAAGGAAAGTGAATACGGAAAAATAGCCGGAGAATCGGATGGCCAGGTAGATTACAGTCGCCATCTCCTTGGAATGATTTTCTTAAGCAGCGTGCCTCGAACCGGAAGCAATTTTTCCACTGTATTCCGTGCCTTCGTCTGCATTCCGAATGCACCGACCGGATTCACCACGGTTCACTAGCTCGATGCATTACATCCGTGGAAATCCCTGCGTTTCGCTTTATTACGAGACGAAAAACACTGGGTATCACGGCTATGGAATCCCAACCTATCCACGACCCAGTAACCATCCTCCCTTAAAAACGATGAATGAAATTGCTCTCCAGACACTCCTCGCATTCCGCCATTTTCTCCCCAGATTCCCTTCTTTTATGGATCCAATTCGGAAATTACTAGTTTCGAGTCACGAAAATAAGCATACAAATATACGAGACTGGTATTCCAATTGTGCATCAAGACGATGAACTTTCTATTCAGATTTTGCACTTTTGCAAATTTTCTGCGGGGATTCTAGAGTTATTTAGTCTTTTCTGGGGAATCGACTTGGAAGTTAAAGACTGTAAGGTTTTGGTGATGAAATTTTTAAGGAATTTCTCAAATTCTCTAATATTTATTTCAAAATTTTCATATAGACTTGCTTTTTTAAATAAAGCTCTGAATTAAAAGAAATAAAATTTCTTTCTTGGGTTTTCCAATATTTCTTGAAATTTTTATATCATTCTATAATTCCTAGAAAATCAGTACAAAATTACTATCCCATATATAAGTTATACGATAAAATCCTAACCTCCAAGTTTACGTAATTGTCTGAACTCACGATGTGTGATCCTATATTCGTATAAAAATTGCAATAAAATTTTGTAAAACATTGTTATTAGAAGAATATTGTGTAATAAGACGCACGTAGTAAGCAGAAAATTCGATATCATTCTGCAAAATTAGAAAATAATTCGACGATGTATATTAAGCGATACAAGGTTTCCTTTACTGGAGATATGGACCGTGGTGGCGCTAGTGAGTTAAACGGAAAACCTTAATCAATATTTCTCTAATATACAATGTTATAATATATTTTTCCATGTAGAATTTCAAACGAAACATGGTTTACCAACCTAATGGGATCATTGTGCACACATAGAAATCAATTTTTAATTTTTTTTTTCTTTTCACCCCACAGTTGAAAAGCTAAACTAAAAATTAAACTAAATTGGCTGCATTTTCGACAATTCTCGATATTTTTTCATGAAAAAAATCGCATGTACTCCTTAAATATAGGTCCAAATCATGCCACAAATCCCGACACAATAATGTCCTTATGGTTCCTTAAAAAAAATCTGAAAAATTGACCTCTAGACTAGAGTACCCCCTTAATAAAGAATGTTTCTGGAGAGAATGGCAAATTTTTCGTTGATTCTCAAGACACGAATGGGTTAATGAAAGGAATTCGAGCGCAGAATTGGTAAGTCCCAGGCATCCTAGCCTTCTTCCAGGACTGCCAACGTTACTCGAGGATTACCGCGTATCCGTGGAACACGCTATATTCCCCGTAGCATGACGCGACGTCAGGAGTAAGCTGATTCTCTCGGCGTTTAATCATTGCTGAACAAGCTGCAGATTCCTTCTACGCTCGGTTATTCCGTATTAAGATCCTGCCATGCCAGCCTTTCGACGTCCCGACCATCACGATTCTACGCGTACGGTTATTTATTTCCCGTGCACGACCATTTGCCAAACGATCAGGCTTCGATCGCAAGGCAGAGGGAAACATTTTTCTCCGATAAACGATACATATTTTATCGAGTATTTTTCTGCAAGCTATTAGAGGAAACACGTCGTTAAAGAGCGGTGAAAGGCGTGACTGTACTGCATGAAAGGAACCTTTAGGTTCTCCAGTCTTCCATTTCTTTAAATCACGTATTTATGCTCTTTGGCATAAATGGCGTTAAATTTCTGTTTTTATTATTATCAATTGTGGGAAATGTTAATTGGGCCGGGTTGACAGGATAATTAATTGTGTGAATTGATTATGTATACGTAAAAATTTCAGGTGTAGAATGTTTGACATATATAGGGTGTATTTTGATACCAGAATTTGGGGAAATTTTTAGACGAAGCAGGTTAGACACTTATAGGGTATTTTGGTAATAAAATTTGGGGAAATTTTTGGATGTAGGAAATTACACATTGACAGATTATTTTAGTATCAAAATTTGGAGGAATTTTTTGGTCTTCAACGAGATTCGATGTTTCTTTGATTTCCTTATTTTTTAGATGATATTGCATTGATTTATATTATGGAATATGATAAATTTTTGAGACACGAGTAAACTGGATGGCTGAATAAATTCATAGCGGTTCTGTTTAGATCGTGAGTTTTCTTTTTGAAAGATTTTTTCTGTCCTTGGAAGTCATAGTATAACAACCGGATAATAGCGAAATCGACTTTCACGCGAGTACTGCAGTTTGTGTCGAGAATTAATAAAATACGATTCTTAATATTTGTGCAAAATAATAAATCGACGTAAGTATATTAGACAAGTAGATAAATTAATTTTACAAAATAAAAATTTTCTTTAATTTTTATAAACAATCAAAATTTTAACAATTTTGTTGTTCCATTCTGAACCTCCCAATTGACAGTAATATTAAAAAAATCACTATTATATAAATAATACCATAATTATATAATTATTATATCATTTTATATCGAATACTGAGTATGAGTCTTTACAGAGGCCTAATTCGTTAATGTAAATCGCTATTTAAGTCGTCTAGTGTAATTAAAAATCCCTGATCTTTGAAATTTTCTTAAAAATCGCACACTTTTACATTCGTTGAAAATTCTTCAAACCACTCTCTACTCCAGCGCCCCACTTCCTTCCTCGGAGGAAGTTCCGGTTATGAAACACTGGTCTCTAGATAGCGGTCGATCACGACATGATCCCTCTCCCATTCATTTCGACGGAATTTCAGATACGGAAAACTCGCATGGAAACTACGACAGACAGTTTCGATCCGACGATGGATCATTTGGACTTCGATCGATTGATGGATCATTTGGAATTCGGTTGAATCAGAAGGAAAATATACACTATACCAGATATGAAAAATAAGGAAGGTGAAGAGAGAGGAAACTCGCGTGAAAAATTCGATCAGATGATGGACCACTTTTGGAATTCAATCGAATCGGACGTAAAAGATAAGATATACGAAAAGTAAGGAAGCTGAAGAGAGGGGAAAACTTGCATGACAAATTAGATTGGATGATGGACCACTTTTGGAATTCGATCGAATCGGATATAAAGAATACGCTATACCAGATGCGAAAAATTAAGAAGGTAAAGAGAGGGGAAACTCACGTGAAAAATTCGATCGACTCGGACCTAAAAGATACGAGATACGAAAAATAAGGAAGCTGAAGAGAGGGGGAGGCGTGGAAAATTCGATCGAATGATGGACCACTTTTGAAATTCGACCAACTCGGACGTAAAAGATACGAGATACGAAAAATAAGAAAGCTGAAGAGAGAGAAGGAAACTCGCGTGAAAAATTCGATCGAATGATGGATCATTTTTGGAATTCGATCGACTGGGATGTAAGACATAGGAGATGCGAAAAGTAGGGAAGGGTAAGAGCGGAAAGGAGGAAGAACCGCGTGTTTTCGCATCGACACACCGTTGACTCATCTCGATCCCGGCTCGCGAGGAATTATCCTTCGATCGTGCGAGCCTAAGGATTAACGCGTTTCGCTTGCGTCGCGTCATCGTTCTTTGTTGCGATGAGTTCCCTCCTC